TAATATATCCCATATTTTCAGTAGAAAATCTTCAATATATCTATTGTATAGAACATGGGAGTGTTGTATATCATTTAACTAGTTAGGGGTATCATTTGGTCATAATTTGGTCATAATTGTTAAGGGTTTAATCATATATTTTGATACAGAGTGCATTATAACAATAGTGAGTATGAAAAATCACAAATACTGTGTAAATGGCGATTATAAAAAAGGATTTTAGGAATTATTCCATATAAGTTTGTTTTACAAACCTGATGGGAAATGAATATTGTTTAGTCGATGACAAATTGATTTGGTGACACGATCGATAGATCTAGAAACGCTTGATCGTGATATCCCATGCAGGTCACCACACTCAGAAAAAAAGGAGGCCTTGGCAAGGTACCTTATGGTCACCAGCACCTAAATAGTTTCATAACAGGGTTTTTCAAACTTGTTCACACAAATACAGACCAAGAAATCTTCAGTGACTTTAAGTTTCATGATATTATAAGGAAGGAGAGAGAGAGAGAGAGAGAGAGAGAGAGAGAGAAGGGATTAACGGAGATGTTCATTAAACAGAAGAATGTTTTGTCTTAGTTTATTGTCCACTGTTCCTAACACGATAGAATGAGTGTGCTCGGAACTAGAAACTAACTTCCGAGGAAGAGTACAGAGACATAGACGCTTGGTTTGAGAATGGTGTGTTTTGTTTATTACATGTATTTGTTTTTCTAGGTGTGTCTGAATACACTCATTAGAATAAAAATAAAAAATCGCTGAAATTAGCACGTTTTAAAAATATCATACTGTATATAAAAGAGCGCTCTCTTTTATATACAGTATTTTGATATTTTTAATACGTGCTAATCTTGGCCTTACATTAGGAACCGGGAGTGGGGGGCGGGAAGCAGTGCCCCCCAAATAATTCTGCCGATCTTTAGAATACTATATAGAAAACATAGCTACTATATGCATTTGCCCTCTCAATAAAAACGTCTGATGACCTTTCTGGCTTGTCAAGAAATTTTTGGTTGCTGATAGTGCAGCCCCCGATCGAAAATGTATGGCTCCCCCCCCCCCCCCCCCGACTGAAATTACTTCCTACGTGCGCCTGCTAATTTCAGCGATTTTTTTTAAATTTTCATTTTAATGACTGCATGTATTCAGACACACACCTAAAAAATACACCATCCTGAATTGAAACCAAGCGCCTATGTACAGAACATGTATATTTAACCAGAACATATAGTTTATTATAACTTCAAAATGTATTTCTATATTTATGTTTTAAGTGATCAACCTCTACATTGGGCTTAACACTTTTATGAATTAAAAAAAGAATTATATGTATATTATTCCGGAAAAAAGTTGTTCGTGTAATCTCTGTCGTAAAGAGAGATAACTCTAAGTTGTGTGATGGTAATGTGAAAGGGACTTCAATGGGTAGATAACTCATGGAAATATACAAGCATATGACCTGTGTGTACGCAGGAAGAGAGTGGCTTCTCTTCGTTGGCCTTTCAACGTCACCTCTCACCATCTCTACCAAACGATAGAGGACATGACGAGGGAGGCGATACCTCTCCACTACTTCCTCATCGCTCAAAAAATCAAGGGGATTTGTCCTGTCCCGAAACACGCGTGGTCTCTGTAGTTTTCTCCCAATAACAGGTACGTTTTCGTCTGCTAGAAGTATTAATGACGCCATTTTGTTTGTGTTTACGAGTACGCGAGGTTATCTACGAGAGCATAGTACCACTCGTAGAATTACGATCAACTTTAATCGTAACTCGCAAGTCGTAACTCTTGGTGAAACGCACGTACGTGCTACGTCTACGTTTACGAGCTACGACCTGTTAGTGAAACGGTCGCCTGGTCTCCAAAGAATGTTGTCAATGAGGAACTCCAATCTAATTAAAATTAGACTTGTATTTTCGCTCCTCTACGATACGCTTGTATTGAAGCGTATCGTAGAGGAGCGAAAATACACGTCTAATTTTAATTAGATTGTGAGGAACTCCAGCTACTTTTTGATAGTAACTTTAGAGTATTTGTGTGTAAAGTCAGTGATTTTTAACAAAGTAATTTTATTGATAACCAGTCACATAGTTTGAAATTATCAGAGTTCCATTTTTATTGAAGAAGCAGTTGTATATATCAAAAAGCTTATTTTTTAATTTGTCATGAGGAATGGTTCATAAAGTGTAGAAAAGTCTTTTGATGTTATTACTTTTACAAAAATTGGGTGATTTAGAATTTTCTATAAAAGTTCTTTGGAGTTTGTGAGAATCCAGATCTGGTTTACACCGTTTCTAGAAAAAACTGTTGCACAGTACGTCGGAAGTTTCACCTTTACAGCATTTAATATTTTTGTAAGACATAAAGATAGGGGCTTGGTAGAGCATTTACTGTATCTGGAAATATATTTTTGATTGTAAGGATTTTTATGAAGTTAAGCAATCCGGTGTAGGGTAGATTGAAGTCACTTTGGTTGACTGTACTGTTAAAATTGTATCATTGCTGCGGCGTTTTTCCTTTGATGTCCACTGTGTTTTTATTTTTGATACACCATGACTAACTGTGCTCGAACAACCATGCTCTATCAAGATAGAACACACTGATAAAGAAAAAGCTGACTTAATAAGCAAAACACAAATACATATAAACATAGTGAAGGTATACCTTTCCTTAGGTCTACAAAAACATTCTAAATTTTGCACGTCAATTTTTAAATCCAAAATGGAATTCACACCCGCACATTTTTATAAATAAACGTTTTCGTCTTTCATAAACTTGAAGCGTAACAAACCACACACAGTGTAGTACAGGGAGCGAGGTGGATATTCTTTGTTTTCTTATTCCAACACGAATCGCTGGATGCAGTAATTTAAATAGAGAATCGCTGTTCATCTCGGTCAAAAGTGGACATTTTCCTGTGCCATTTAAATTGCCATTTGGTATACTTAACAAACGCTGAATTTCATGATCGGACACCTGTACAAACCTTTAATTTTTCGCCTTCGTGTCGACCTCGGGACTGGTGAAATTAACGCCATCATGTCTAAAATAGGTCCTATATCGAAATCCATAATAGGTTCAATTTTTAGTCCCGGTAGATCAGACGTCATACTTCCCAAAGAATCTTCAACCTGCATCTGGTTTCCTAACTGATCTAAGGACTATTCTTTCATAATTTCGGTTTCCGTGTCTATAAGAATTGCGCAAGCATAAAATCACAACCGTCACCCATGGCGTTCAAAATATGAATGGACGAGGTAGAAAGTTCAAGAAATACAGCGCGCTATACTTTTCGAATCACGTGCTCTTTTTTCATTGGTTATATAAAATGGTATGATGAAATTTTGATAGATCATGGCTAATTCAGTGCACGAAAATATAGTTGAATTACATGCTATTAACGTGAAATTGATAGATCATGGGTAACTCAATGCATGAGAACAATGATACAAAACAAGCCCCCTCCTCTGATATCTGAAGATACACTCGTTAAAAGGTACTCTATATATTACGTATTAAACACTGAAATGTGATTTTGAAGAGTCTCATCCTTAGAAAGTGAACTGAAGAATAGATTAAATGGCTTTCCAGACGTAGAATTAAAACCAGGTTCTTCTAAAATACATTATAATAATGAACCTTACCAGCAAAGACGATATTGTTACTAGTTTTGTCTGATGCCAGGAACCATAACATATTTTCATGTAGTCTTTTTTATTCTTTTATCACCTCCGATTTAGTGAAAATAGAGGATAGATGGTTCTCATGTTGCATTTTGTCTTTCTAACTTGAATCTTTAATATATTTCTAAAACACTTAATCCATTCTGACAAAGTGTTCAGCTCTTCTCTTTCATATTTAGCCCAACATCTGGCATAATCTTCGACATAATTTATGATAGAAATGAAGATTTGTTGCCAGTTAAAAGTTCGGGGCTCCCTGTATTTAGGACCTTTTGAGATCATTGCATTCAGATCGTCATTGTTCAGTATCTAGGCGCAGTCACGGTAGCTCAGTCGGTAGAGCGCTCGCTTCGTGATCGGAAGGTCATGTGTTCGAATCACGGCCGCGACTGACCTAAGTCGATAAAAAATAGGTAGCAACTGTTCCTTCGCCAAGCGCTCGGCACATTGAAATGAAAGCTGCGGATCCTTTGGATGAGACCTTAAAAACCGAGGCCCCATGTCACGGTAGGCGTTGGCACTCTATATGAGTGAAAAATTCTCGAACTGGGCGTAAAACAACATACAATCAATCAATATCTAGGCACTGTAAGGTTTGTTTGTAATTGAAAAGTTTGGAGGAAACAGTTTGGAAATATCTGTAGGATTGATTGATTGATTGTGTGTTGTTTAACGTCCCGTTTAACGTCCCGTTCATGAATGTTTCAATCATATAGATACGTCACCATATCCTTTACTCGGCACTCAGGGCCATTGAGCAGTGAGGGTTCTTTATCGTGCCAACGCCTGGCCTCGGTTTTTAAGGTCTTATCCGAAAGACCCGCAACTTTCACTCCAAAGAGCCGAGCGCCTGGCGAAATAACAGTTGCTACCTATTTTTTATCGATTTAGGTCAGTCGCGGCCCTGATTCGAACACACGACCTTCCGATCACGGAGCAAGTGCTCTACCTACTGAGCTACCATGACGGTAAATATCTGTTAGAAATGCAGGGTGTAGGCTTTAACTTGAAATATGGACGAATAACTTTTTTAAGAATATTACATGTACTTATGTTCACAGCATCTATTCCTTTGTTGGCAATTTTAGGACACAATAGGTTGATTCAGAATTTATTATCTCGTGCCTGTGCTGGGCTAATGAAATATATTTCTCACTCTTGAAAAGCAGATTAATGTTAATGTAGTGTTTGCATTTTTTGCAGTAATACCAAAAGTTTCAGACCGAAAATATGCAAAGACTTTACTTCTGAATTTAACTATAAAAAATCAAAATATGTGTAATAACTTGAGACAAAAATTTTATTGTGGTACAGGACTTTGAGAGTGGGAAGTTTGAAGCTACTCGAAAAAAGAGGAGGAGTAAGAAAGAAACAACAAAATTTTTTCACACATACGATGAACTGCAAACCATGCTCAGAGCAGGTGCTTTTGTGGGAGCTGAAGTTACTGAAGCTTCATCTTCAGATGATGATTTTTCTGATGATAGTGATGATGATCCTTCACAGCATCCCAAGCTGCCTTTACCAAATAAAAGCGATGAGAAGACCCCAACTTTTAACTTAAGAAAAACAAGACTGAACTTCAACTACGTGTTTCGAGAATGTCCAAAGAAAGAACGAGAGCAGTACGGCGATTTGAGTGGTGATGACTATTTTATTGAGGAGGATTTTGAAGAAGTTGATTTTCTGGATAGCTCAAATTCTTGCGAACAACTTATGAAACAAGCAAAGGAGATGGAGATGGATGTTGATTACAGTGATGATGAAGGAGATGAAGGGCTAAGTTAGTGGATTTTCATTCATTACATATTTATTTACATTTAGCGAATTTTCTTTATGAAATCCATTGGAAATCTACAACATTCAATACCCTATAACACTCACGAAGCCTTGTCACTGCGTGGTAGAATACACAGTAGGAACTATATGCATTTTCAATACTCTTGGAACACCAAAGTGTATATTGTTTTGGCTCAATTTAATTAAAACAATTATCCTATTAAATTATTGTAAAAATATAACAATTGTACATTTAAAATTAATTTGTCATTTTTTCCCTTGCGGTATTTCAACTTTCTACGTCACAACGATTCTTACGTCTATTAAGCAAACCAGTTCTGAAAGACGCTGAATTAATTATCAAGATTAACAAAATTGAAAATTATAAAGAGAGAAAATTAGAGAACGTAAAGATAAGCATTGAATTCTTATTTTTTGATGTCTTAGATCCTTTAAGAGCACCTGTCTATGCTGAAAAAAATTATCATACCGTACTAACGTGTATTCAATTTGTCGGCACGACCAGGTGCTGTTATAGGACCGACGACATCCAAGGAATTCAGTGCTTAGTAAAATGTTTGGATCGGTCTGTTCATCCAACATGTGTCATATTAATATGGTATGAAACACATAGTACGATTCTGATTGACTGCTTATTTCTGCACTTTTATAAGTGAACCTAAAATGTACAAGACCATTTTTGTATAATGGGAGAAAAACAGGTCCCATAACTAGTGCTTGTTAGTAACCAGTTTTCTCAAACTCTTGTTTCTTAACTTTCAGGAGGACTCAACAAACCTCGTGTCTCTCTAAAAATGGGAAAAAAATGAATTCGAGTTTGGAAAAAAAGTTACTAACTCGCACTGGTTAAGGAAGCAATATTTATAACTGAAAATGAGACCGTTGTCCTGCGTGAAAATGTTCAAATTTTAAGTTTACTTTCTATGGCATTCATTGTTGATTAATTAAGTGATAACATTGAACAGTAAGTTCTGCATCGAATTAAACAGAGGATTATTGCATCGTGGCAAAGCTTGTTTGGTATAGGGTTGTGGAGAAGACATCTAAAACTGAAGAGTACAGACAGGACAAATATAGACATAATATTGTTAAAACAAGTTTCAGAAAAGCTAAAGATATTTGGCTGAGGTATATTAAATTTTTTATTTTTATCATTAATGTTTGCAGTGAAAGTTCTAGAAAGAAGGACAAGTGACTGTTCAATTTCTTCACAAAGCTCACTAGAAGAAGAGGATTTTGAGGCAAGGAGGAAGAGATATGCCAGGAAAGGTTCAAGAGAAGGTTCTCTGCAGGACTTTCTGGAAAACAGACTCAGTGAATCTAAGTCAGTCACAAAGGGAAGATTATCATCCACTTCTTCAACTTCCATAGAAATTAGCATGGATGAGGATTCATCGAATGTTGGGGAAAGAAATCCAGAGCTGATGAAATTGAGGAAAAAAATAGATGAATGTTTTGAAGCAAAAGAGAAACAAGAACTAGATTCTTCCCAGCAAAATGCAAAACTTAGGAGGACCAGGATGCAGAGGCAACCAACGATCAATGAAGAACCAGGGGGTAAGTGTCATTTTATATTACTTCTTTGTACATTTTGACAAAAAAGTTATTAATTTTCTCTTCACTTCTCTTGTATATTTACAATTGCTTTCGTACATGTAACACTTCACCCTTTCAACAAAAGTTGCGTGTTGTTTTTCCTGATTTATCTCCTTTCTTCTTGGCAAGTCAAGTTGCTGTGCATTTTTTTTTAATTTTCTCTCTTTGACTATCATCTCAATTTCCCTTTTTCTCTCATTTTAGTGCATCATATGATTTGTTTTGACATTTTCCTTTGATTTTTAAACATGAATCCAGTGCTTCTTCATTGCAATCAAATACGATCCGTACATAAAATCTAAAATAACGTAAGGATAGAAAACAAAAAACTTTTTTCAGAAATTAGGTAACCTCAATAATGTTGGCCAGGGTAACTGGGATTTTTTTTAAAGATTTTGTAATAATATTAAAAAAATGTTTGAAAACTTTTTTTTTATAGATTAACTTGAAAATGACACAAAGTCGCATATTTAATCTTGAAAGAAAACTTACAATTTCTTTATATTTTATGGATTTATTACTTATGACACTATGTCATTTATATTCAAAATCTGTTATATCAATCAATGCATCAAAATTTTTAGTTTGTATCATGTATCCTTATACTTATGTTGACTTTTGGAAAAGATCAATGAGGAGCTTTTTCTGTCTAAATGACAAATCTTAGCTACTTCAAGAACCTCTTTATCTAAATCTATCTTTCATTATCTGTAGATTCATCTCTTTTACTGTTGCCTTTGTTGAAATATTTTTAATCCCACTTTCTCCTCATTTCAGTGTGAAACATTTCTTTCCTTATAATTCTTGATACTTCAAAACAAGAAATACTGTTTTACCAGTAAAATAATGTTTAAATAGATTAAATGTTAAATTTCATCTCGTTTCTGCTGGCATTTTATCACATGTCTTATCCAACACATCATATAATTAGATGCCAAACAACAGTTCGTGCTTTGAACCATTCCTCAATTTTTTTTCCAAACACAAAGCATTTTTCTCATTAAGAAAAGTTTTAGCTTTATGTTCTAACATCTACATATATTTTCAGATTTTGAAATTGTACTTTTTTGGCATCAGTCGTTGTGGATTTCTTCGGTACCCCATGCCCTCAACAAATTTGATATAAATATCATTTCTTGATTAAAAAAAAAAACCCTTGTCTTTGAAATTAAGTCCTTGAGAATCTGTATTTGGAACAGTTTACAAAATCTGGCCCGCACAAATTAAAATGATTCCATAGTATTTTCTATTTACATGAACAATATCTAGAGTTGATTTTAACCTTGTTACTTTTATTTTTATTTATGTACCTTTATAGCAAGAATTAACATTTCCCGAAATTCTTATAGATTTGAAAACTTCTTTTCTGTTTTTGGTTTCTGTGTTTGATGTTTTTTTCTCTAAATTTGGCTCCTTTGTGATTAATAGGATTTATAAGGATTTATTTTTAAATTTACGACTCCTTCAAAGTGATCCCTCTGTGTTTTTATGTATTGTAATTTCACCCAGCTTTTTTTAGTTTGAAAGTAATTTTATATATATATATATAAAAAGAAAAGAAGTAAGCAAAAAGTTTTAACATGCCTTTTTGTCAAATAGTTTCATGTAACAGTACCTCAACAGAGATTTTATTTTCCTGTTTGTTCTGCAGAAGTATGGTTTAATTGTCTCTTACATATTATAAGATTAAATATGAGTGGAATTATTAAAATGATTCAACTATTATTCTACAGAGTCAACCCAGCCTCCAGAAGCAGCACAGAAAAGTGCGAAGAGGAGAAGATGAAAATTCAAAACTAGTGTTGGTTTGTAATTCTACGTTGCAGAACTTGGATAAAAATCGTTGGATTTTTTAACTATCTAAGTGAAATTGATGTTTGAAACCAAATTTTCAGAGTCTATAAATGCATAGTTTAGATTTATTTTAAATTTCTGTTTTACCTGTTTTTGATGCCTTACTCAAATAGTTTTCAGTGAACCTAGATAAAAATCGTTGTATTTTTGAACCATCTAATTGAAATTGATGTTTGAAACAAATTTTTAGAGTCTATAAATGCATAGTTTAGATTTATTTTAGATTTCTGTTTTTACCTGTTTTTAATGCCTTACTCAAATAGTTTTCAGTGAATTTAGTAGATAAAATTCTTTTGATTTTTGAACCATCTAATTGAAATTGATGTTTGAAACCAAGAGTCTATAAATGCATAGTTTAGATTTACTTTAAATTTCTGTTTATACCTGTTTTTTTAATGCCTTACTCAAATAGTTTTCAGTGAACCTGGATAAAAAATCTTTTGATTTTTGAACCATCTTAGTGAAATTGATGTTTGAAACCAAATTTTGTAGTCTATAAAATTAATGCATAATTTAGATTATTTAAAATTTCTATTTTTACGTGTTTTTTAATGCCTTATTACTCAAGTAGTTTTTGTTTAAAGATTTACGCAGCCGCATAGCTTCAGGAAGAATATATATAAATTCAACTTTTCTTTTGATGAAACCAGAGACTGATAAAATTTGCTGCAAAATAACGCATCCCAACAAACTTGTGCTCTCTGTGACAAAACCTAGTGATCCCTTCCAACATGCCGTGTTGTGGTTTTCTTCTATAAAGCCTATCAGGAACATTCTTTTTTGATTGTGTAGTGAAAAAAAAACTGTTAAGTCATTTATATGTAGATTTAACTCATATGTCTGATTATGACTAGATCATAATCAAGAAACGAGATCCACGCATTTCTTTTTCAAGAAGATGTTTGTTTTCTTTTTAGGGAAATAAAACATTTTTTTTGATATTCCCTTCAATTAATTCAGAACGCTCATGCGACTAAAAAAATTATCTTGAAATTTGTAAATGAGTGAAGCTGAATTAAGATTTGAGTTGGATTAGGATTTCTAACATTACATTATGTCCATGTTAGAACTTTAACTGCATATATATCGTTTAATGTTTACAAAGCCATGTATGTTCAATTTTAGAATTGAAAAATGATTTTTTAAAATTACAAACATGTTGTTACATTGGTAAATTTCTAAGTGACACTATTGTTTGGCCACTTTTTTGGAAGAATGACATTTAATACCAGAGACGTCTTAACACTGCTTTTTTTGTTTTTACTGATATTAAATTCTATTTGCATTTATTTGTATTTGATCTCAGCAACGTTACATTTTTTATCCTTTGATCATAGGAGGATGAATGAAAATCGTGCTTCTGTATAGCAATGTGTTTTCCTTGTATGATGAAATGATTTTAATGTTTTTAATTATTTTTAAATGTCATATGAAACTACCAATGGAGAAATGAAATCTATGTAATAGATGACTAAAAAAAGAGTATAGGACTCCCTTTTAGTATTCTTTATTGTATGGTGTGATGTGAATCTAAAAATTAACTAAGTATATATATATATTTAATTTATTAATCATTATGCAAACCCATTTACAATTTCTAACTATCCAAAGTAAAGTTATACGAAGTATATTTAAAATAATGAATTTATGATGAAAATTAACCCGAGAAGCTTACCTTTTTTATGCAAAGTAAAACTTTTGGGAAAAAAAATCATTAACAAGTGTAATTCATGCTCATCTGCATTTTAAAATTTAATTTACTAGACTTAAAAGAAATGTAAATATTGCAATTTCAAGGCTCTTAAGCGGTCGCGGTACCATAGGGTGACTGGGAGGTCGGTCAAACTTAAGTAGTCATAGGTGGTAACTGTTCTTTCCCCAAGCGTCTGGAATTAGCAGTAAAAGTCACGTGTCTTTCGGATATGACCTTAAAACGTAGAGCCTGTGTCATGGCAGACAAACTCTCACCGCTCAGTGGTTCTTAGTGCTGAGTATAGGTATAAATTAGAAGCTCTTTCAGTGGATTTTGGTGACGTCTCATTATTGACAAACAAGTTGGTGAAGCAAGAATATCAAAAGTCTCGTTTAAAGTCATCATTTCGTAAGTTCTATGGTCGATGCAATGACCTTGTCAGCAAATATAATCTATCATTAAGGCATATGCTGACTGACGTTGTTAGGCCATTATTTACACACTGATTTGTCGACAGAATTTTCCGTTATTTACCGATCATGATAAGGAGCACACGGCGGGTGTGACCGGTCGGCAGGGGATGCTCACTCCTCCATGGCAATTGATCCCACTTTGATTTTGGAGGTCCGTGTTTGCTTTGCTCCCGTTTGTATTGTTTTAATGGACTTTGAGCTTGAATACTGTTTGTTATCTCCACATTTCACATAAGTGAAAAATTCTTTTAAGGGACGTAAAACAACATTCAATCAATCGACGCCTTTTACTGGAACATTGAATCGTCTGAAGTTAACATATTCCCGGTGATTTTGTGATCAAGTTTTTAACTTTGAGTGTGGTTTCGTATCAATGAAAGATCCTCCCTTGATTGATTTAATGTGCAATGTGATATTTTGTAATGATTTGTAAAGGTTTGGTGTTTCTTCACAACATCGATAGTTATTTTACATAACTGAGGTGTGGTCATCATTTCATGAAATTATTACGCTCAAATATTGTAGCACATTTTCATAGAGCTCAAGAACATATATTATCTGAGAGTTATTTCTAACCAAAGTTCTATCATTAATGATCAAAGAAGAGAAAATGAATTAAGATCTTTTCGTTTTTTTTAAAAATTATTCTACATGTGTATTGCAATTAGGGGAAAGCACACCGTCCCAAGACTATAAATTGAGAACAGACTTAGGTCCAGATTTTGATTTTTGAACATCTTATTTTTTTGTTTATTTTACAACATTTTGAACATCTTGTTTTTTTATTTTACAAATATGAGACAAGCTATCGACAAATAAGTTTATGACACAAGAATATCAACAGTCCCGTTTGGAGATTCTATGGTCGATACAATGTTAGCAAATATAATCTATCTTAAAGTCGAAAGTTGATTGACAATTTTCAAACAAATTGTTGGCTATTATTTTAACATTAAATTGTCAACGGATTTTCCCTTTGTCAATCATGACAAGGAGCACAAGGAGTGAGGGCATGACCGGTCGACAGGGAATGCTCACTCCTCCATGGCACCTGGTCTCTCCTCTGAATGTGTAGAAGTCCGTGTTTGCTCTGTTCCAAATTAACTATTCATTATCTTCGTATTTCTTGTATAAGACATATTCAATCTCATCCCGAAAATTTGGTTTTATTTTCAAAATGAAGTAATTTAAAAATTAAGTTACAAGTATTCAAATTTGAATTCTTTTGAATACCTTTGAAGTCAATTCTCAGTTTATGGTCTTGGACATGGCCATCTAAATGAAATTGGTACATATTTAGACTAAAATTAATAAAATACAATGTAATTATTTATAATTATGCATGGTTTTGATTGCTATATAAATTTCAATTTTTAGAGGTATACATATATATATATATATTATCATATTATCATATTTTATATTCTTGTAGGCATGCATTTACGTTTTTCAAAGATTATAGGTTGCAGCTTTTCTAATACGCTTCCTTCAGGTATTTAATGATGTACTATTATTTACCTTGTGGCTATGTCTTTATGAGATTTAATTGATTTTAGGTCACCTGAGTCACTCAGGTGACCTATTGCTATCTGTTTTCGTCCGTCGTCGTGCTACGTGCGTCGTCCGTCGGTCGTAAACTTTTCAGCTTCTTCTCTTGAACCACTGAACCAATTTCAACCAATTTTGGCATATGGTATCAATGGGTGAAGGGGTACAAAAATTATGAATTTCATGATCCCTGCCCTCCTGGGGCTTGAGGGGTGGGGCTAAAACCATCAAAATTAGTGCTATCTTTAAAAAATCTTCTATTTTACTCCTGGACATCAAGCAGTCAAACTGTTGGCATGATTGTAATAAGCATTGAGCCCTCTACCAAATAGTGAAATTCATGGCCCCAGGGTCAGGGGTTCTGGTGTTTGGGTGGGGCT